CTGCCAGGCTGGTTTGCCGCCAACAGTCTTCATTGGCCAGCAGCTAATGCTGCCAACACCTATTCTCAACGGCAGCTGGTTCGGGTTATTTTTAAACTTTTGAAGGATGTTTTCAATGTAGATCAAACCTGCTCATATTCAGAATTACTGTCTACATGCCAAGTTTGGCACATGCAAGCAGTTCTCGCTTTCATTGTAAAGCAGGACATGTCTCACCATCTAATGCTCAATACCTTTGCTGGCTCAATCATGTCTTAGTCTTTCGTGTTTGCTGTTTTTCTCTCTTGCTTTTCCTTAACTTTCTAAAGGCCTGTTCATTCCACAAAAACTGTTTGCTGTAAAAATTCGGCGTGATAAACATTTTGAATGAACGGCTGCTAATGTGTCTGTTCAGACCAACACAAACAGTTGCATGCTGTCAATGCAACTGATTCTTTTACGGAGAGGTGTTGTAATCTCTTTACCATCAGACTGCAAATGAAGCTGGCTAACCAATAAGATTCACATGTACAGAGACACTGCTGTTACATAAAACTGTGACTTGGAGGCACTCACGGATGGACTATTTTGCAATCCAAAGCAGCTCTGCTGTCTCTGTACTCTTGTATTTGGTGTTATTTGATAAACAGTACCAAAAAAATACAAAAATCAGAATGGCTTTTGAAGATCTGTGTATACTGTAAATGCTTAATTTCCTCTCCATGACAAGTGGGGGTCTGAATTGGAAAACTGTGCAGTGCTTTGCATACCTTGGAAAACGGGGTATTTCTGGTTTTCTATAAGTGCCACCTGCTGTCAGAGACAGTTCATTCTTAAATTTAAAGGTTTGAAAACACTCATTGTCAGAATAGTAATGATCTCAAACATGCATCAGTTTGACTATAGCTATCAGCTAGAAGGAGTTGAGTAGACCCATTCTGTGTTCACCAAAATGTCAGCCCCGCAGCCTTGTGATTTCCATCTACCCTCCCTAATAAATCAATAAGACTTAGCATTAACCGGCAGTCAGCACTGATATAAGTTAATTTACACAAGCAGACACGGAGTGATGGAAGCTGATTGTAGATGGCCACAAGGGCAATGACTGTTTGCATAATCATTTCTATGTTGAATGAAAAGAGTCTTCAATTCAGAGTAATTCAGCTGTGAGTTAAGGCCACTCTGTGTGAGTGGCTTCTTGAGAGAAAGAGATGGTTTTGTTTTTGTATGTGAAGCATTACTAGTTCTTAATAGCAGAATGGGTGTAAAGTACTCTGGGATAGCTCACACACACAGGAACAGAACCCAATGTGTGCATGCATTTTATAGTGTCTCAGCACGTACCAGCATGTACACCCACTCAGAGTCTTTCATAAGGATCATTTGTTTTATTTCAGCATTGAGGTTCTCAACAATAATGGCCCTAGTTTAGAAATGGTTTGCCAAGCATGTTCAATTTAAAACCCTGTCAGTATTTCCACTTTGTTATGATGAGCCATCGGTAAGTGTGCCCATAAGCTGTCATAACATCTCGTAACCTTTTTTAACAGCCCATCAGTCAGAACTGCTTGCTTAGGACCTGTGGTGGGGGTTGAGGTCTGGCTCAGCAGTACTATAGGAGGGAAGTGCACCAGGAGCTTAAGAACCATTAAACATTCATTAATTTGAGAGAGTAAAAGAACGAAAGAAAGCAAGAAAAAAAAAACAGGAGAGAGAGGGGAAAATGAGAATAAACATAGGTCAGTGAACTGAAGATGTGTCTTTCTTGGTTGTCATTCATTCAGCTCATCATAGAATATCTGGCAGAATGAGTTCATTTATAACTAGACCTTGTTTCTCATAATTTGAAGATGTTTTCATTGTTGACAATCATGAAAATACTCAAGGATGGTTGTGTGAGTTGCCTCTCCACGCTCTACCACAATCCCTATATGGGATTTAATTCTAACAAACCTTAGATTTTCCTCACCGAAGCAATTATGTTTCTAGCTCTGAAAGTTAGCTATTGTTATATCTCTGTGTATCTCTATACTCATCATATCACTGAGTCGGGTTTGCTGAAAGTGACCAGTAACTTATTACTAGTGGTTGACTCAGGGACAAACATTGTATTAATGCTACTCTGTCTTACCGCTGCCTTTGATAAAATAGACCATGGTATCCCTCTTTCTCTTCTGGAACATTGGGTCTGCATAGCCTTAGGAAGGGCATAGCCTTACAGTGGTTTAGTTCTTGTCTTAAACATAAGAACTTTTTCAGTAGTTTTGAGCAAGTTCTCCTCATGTTAGTGGGGTTCCTCAGGGGTCTATATTGAGTCCGCTTTTTTAATCTTTCTCTTGGAAGTATTATTGGGCAACATAATATTACTTTTTACTTCTTTGCTGATGAAACTCAGCTATATTTGCCTTGGAAAACTGGTGACTCCATCCAGCCTTCTCTGGACTGCTTCAAGGACAGTCTTGGTTATCAAATAACTGTCTCCAGCTCAATAATGACAAAACTGAAATAATTATTTTGGTCCCCTGAAAACGAGATGTTGCCTGGTTAATGAGCTTGGTAATCATTTTCCTTCAATTTTGCTCGAGGTATGAAATTTGGGGGTCAATCATTTGTGTTTTATCAGGATTTGGAGAAAGTTATTCACGGTTTTATTTCCTCACGATTATTGTAATTCTGTCTATCTTGTTGATGCTCAATCTTCAGATGGTCCAGAATGCTGCTGCAAGGCTGTTAACATCAGCCAAAAAAATGCAATTATATCACTCCAATTTTAATCCCCTTCATAGGCTTCCTGTTTATTTTAGGATGTTGATTTAAGATGTTTGTTTTTAAAGCCCTTAATGATCAAGACCCATCGTACATTAAAGATCTTATCCTCCCTTACTCATCTAGCAGATCTTTAAGATCTTCTGATAAAGCACTTTAGCATGTCCCACAATCTTATCTAAAACTATAGGCTGATACAGGTTTTTTGGTCGCTGGCACTAGCCTATGGAATCAGCTACCTTGCACCTTCAAAGTTAGTAATTGTTTTATCCCTACTCTAATGGCTTAAGGGTTAGTTACAGTGCTATGTCTCTAATGTTTAAAGGTTAGTTATTATAATGTCTCTAACTGTTTGACAGTTAGTGTTGTTATATCTACACTCTAGTGGTTTAAAGGTTAGTTATTTTATGTATTTGGCAGTCAGTACTTGTTACATCTCTAGCAGTTTTAAGGTTAGTAATGTTCTCCAGTTTTTTGAATGTTTATGTTTCTGATGGTATATAGGTTAGTTATCATATCTTTAATTGTTTGGCTATTGTGATTATTTCAACTGTTTGTATGTTTTGTTGTTGTTATATCATTAACTGTATGAACTGCATATCAAATATTTGAAACCAGTTTAACAGAAATAAGCATGTCCCACAATCTTATCTAAAATTATAGGCTGATACAGGTTTTTTGGTCGCTGGCACTAGCCTATGGAATCAGCTACCTTGCACCTTCAAAGTTAGTAATTGTTTTATCTCTACTCTAATGGCTTAAGGGTTAGTTACAGTGCTATGTCTCTAATGTTTAAAGGTTAGTTATTATAATGTCTCTAACTGTTTGACAGTTAGTGTTGTTATATCTACACTCTAGTGGTTTAAAGGTTAGTTATTTTATGTATTTGGCAGTCAGTACTTGTTACATCTCTAGCAGTTTTAAGGTTAGTAATGTTCTCCAGTTTTTTGAATGTTTATGTTTCTGATGGTATATAGGTTAGTTATCATATCTTTAATTGTTTGGCTATTGTGATTATTTCAACTGTTTGTATGTTTTGTTGTTGTTATATCATTAACTGTATGAACTGCATATCAAATATTTGAAACCAGTTTAACAGAAATAGTCCTAGATAATCTGTCAAACGCTTAGCGGGAAATGGTTCTGCAATGTAAACAAACATTGCAGGACTCTCACCTTTACACATAATGAGGCGGCTAGGCCTACAGTGCACACCATGGCTCACGAGCTTGATTTCTGTTTTCTTTTTCAATGGAGAGGAGACTAACATCAGTTAGTTCTTGCTTTAGAGATATTAGCAATATTAGCTTTAGACACATTATTTTGTACAAATGCAAGAGTTTGTACAAATACTGTACACACACTCTCTTTTTGCATGATCCACCTTCAGCATTGCTGATTCTGGTTGTGTCCGAGGGCCAGGAGAAAATCTTATTAGCAGCCATTACAGAACGCTCTGCCTTCTTTCTCCTGCATTCTCTCTTTCTCACTTGTGTCCATCTCCCCCCTCCCTACATATCTCTAGCAATCTCTCTCTCTGTCCCTCTTGTCTGTGTGCCTCTATCCGTATGGATGCAAACATGCAGAGATGCACCTGGCGCTCTGTTTTACATTCATGAGTGAGTAAAGCCTGTAGCATCTGCACTTGTGCCTCCCCCACATGCATGCAAATGACCCAACCCAGAGAGTGAGAGGACCATAATGCCACACTGCCTGGTGTGCTGGTTTGCTTTGGCTACTTTCAGTCCACAAATAGTTTTTGGCGAGGTTGTTCACATGACCTGTTAAATGTGACACACCTAAACTGACACAATTGCATAAAACATCCCTACCCTGACAAATTCATCATAACATCAACACATTTTATCATTTGATGTTATATTTTGTTACTTTAAAAAATCAGAAGAACTTCAGACTTCAGGTCTTATGCATTAGCATTAACTTTGTTCAAAGTGTCACAATATTTCACGTCTAATGTGCAGTAACATATATTTCAAACAAATTTAAATTTGTACTTTCTGCATTATACTTAAAGGGGTCATATGATGCTGCTAAAAAGAACATTATTTTGTGTATTTGGTGTAATGAAATGTGTTTATGCGGTTTAAAGTTAAAAAAGATTCATGTCAAGGCCACAGTGAACTGTGGTGTGAATATAGTTAACTTTTATAGAACTATATTGCTTTTCTTTTAGTTTAGCAGTGATCTCTTATAATAAATGCCAGCTCATGTAACTGAATTGTCTTTCTTTGCAGCTCCAGTGGGTGCCGTTGCTGACAGACTTCAGGAGGAAGGATTCTGTGTGGGGATTTGTGCCCTCTCTAGACATTCCCATCACCCTGCACTTAGGAGACTACAACCTGGATGGCTTTCCCGATGCCCTCGTCATCCTCCGTAACACCAGTGCTAGGTAAGTCGGCATCAGTGCTGGGTAGCCAAAATCTGTACTCAAGTACAATATCAATAATTACGCAAGTAGGAGCAAAAGTAATGATACAACTGATTATTTCCACAAGAGGAAGAGAGCATCCAGTGAAATTACTGCTCAAATAATGAGTACTGTTTACATAGGATCTGATCAAAGTTCAGAATATAGCATTGGTGATGATAATGGTGAAAAAAAGTATATGGAGACATTATGAAACTATGAACATGTTTCACATGTTTCATATCTCACTAAAATACTAGATTTGCACATCATCTTGAGATAGATATACCAGAGGGCTATACCAATCTAAAGAGTAAAATACTTTACTTGAATGGAGGACCTACTCTTAAGAAGTTTTTTTTTTCTTCACACAAGTTACTTAAAGAAATTTGTCAGAGTACTTGTAGAGTGTTAAGACCCGCCTCTCGAAGGCAGTGACTTCTGTGTTAAAAAGTGAATTGCTAAATCAGTCTCTTTTCAGCAAGGTTTATAGCAAGATTTTTTTTTTTATCAATATTGAATCGTAGAGAAATAACCTGTTTTTTCTTTTAAAAGAAAAACTCTCAGCACCATATAACTGTTACATTTTTAAACCAAGCAAGTAGTGCTTAAACATTTTTGCAAACATACAAGTATTTTCTTCCTAAGAAACAAACCAGGGCTAAAACCCAACCTTTATTACTTTTCCTTTTATCTAAATAAGATGTTTTTGATAACACAGTAGCTGTTTTTCAAAGCACTGCATCACTTTATCCTTCTCTTTTTTTCTCCTTGAAAGAATTTAAAGCTTAAGTTGATGGATTCTTGGATGATCCTGATAAAGTAAGAATTTGGGGAACTTTCTACACTTTTGGGGCATTTTATGTTTTTCCTCTCTACTTATAATATTTCTACATGATGTTATTCCACCTTCTATCTGACCATGCTGCATTTATTTTGAATATTAATTTGCTTATGGTTGTGACATCAATTTCTGAATTACCAGTTTTTGCAGCTTTCTGTAAATGGACTGTGGAGATAATTTGCATGTGTTAGAGTATGTCTGTGATGCATCAAACATTAAAAAAAAAGATTTGGTTTTCCATGATATTTTCCCATTGAACAGCTTAAAATAGCATTTTTACATCATACATCACACTGCATTCACTCTTATGTTAACAGTGAATAAATGACAGTGTAAAGGTTGGCTAAGTGTTAGCTAAGTGTTGCCATCAACAAAAGTGATCGAGCAGGTGCCTGTGAAGCGCCAGAAGCTTGTCGCCCGTCTTCGATCTGGCCTGACCTGAGTAAGGACAGGCAGGCCTGAAAGAACAGCAGGAAGAGCACGGATGGATTAACAGCCCTCTGATTGAGATAAGATACTGGCCTCCAGGTGACTATGAGAGATGCTCCAGATGCTTTTAGAAAACAAAGACAACTTCACATCGTCCTGAAGGGCAGGAGATTTGTGTCCGGACTCAGAGAATCACACGAGTCGGTTTAGCCACACACACAGAATCCTAGAAAACGCTTTTCTTTTTTATGATCTGCTTATTTTTGGTCTTTAGTCTATGCTCTTCATGCTTAATACATTAGGTTGACCTAGTCTTTAAGTCAGTAGAGGCTTAACCTTCCACTCGTGTCATAAGGCTTTAGTGTTGCTATAGTCTCCTCTAATCACCCCACAGCCAATCTCATCATCAGCACTTCCATAAGTAATCAGGCAACATGCATCCAGAGACCTCAGAGATGCAGCAGAGTGTGTTCAATCGGCCTATTGTCATTACCGTGGCCTCTAATGGCTAAGATGCCAAGGAGAGTGATTTGATTCTCATCAGCCAGGAGCTGGATGTTAAAACTTCCTTTCCTCACAGATGGCCACTTTCTTATCTGACACTAATCTGAACCTTCTCATTAAAGACCACAGCATCTTTATATGAATCTTTGGTCTTGTTGTGGTTTACCTCACTTTCTGCAATGATATCATTAAGGACACACTTGGTTGCCTTTTTTCATTTAGTTTTTTTTCTTCCCCTCTTTCCCATTTCTTTTTTCACACTCTTGGTGGAATCACTTTAAGTGTCTTGTTCCTTCAGCTTTTGCTATTCAATCGAATAAAGCTTATTCCATAACTTTAATTCCATTTTTTACAGATTGAATGTGTATTTGAATTTTGATCAGAGACCAGATCAATATCTGAATAAAATAAAAAAGGCAGCATTTAGTGAACAAATATTTTTTATGTTGAATATAGGGGGCTAGTGGTTGTCTGAAGGGGGATGTGTTCATAAGTTCATGAATTCAGAGGAAGCATGCTGATATGTGACGGATTTAGATGAGTAATGTTGTGCCAGTTTCTTTCATTCTTTTTTTTTTCTCCCCCAAACCCTTTAAACGGCCTCCAGCCCATTTTGTGAGCAAAGGTTGTCATGGTTTCTGAGGTGATAGAGTGTGTTGGAGTTGGTGAGTGTTTTTTTTTTGTTGTTGTTGAGCAAGCGAGTGAGTGGGTGGGTGATAGAGTATACCCAACCAGCTAGAGGCATTTTCAAAGTCAAAACCATTTAAAAATTAAATGAGAGCTTCACGCTTGTTTTTAAATGAGGCATACATAGTCTTCAGCAGATATGGCGAGTGTAAAGATTTATACTGATCTGAATGTTTTGGGACCATCAGTTGATTAAAACGTGTTTGTATAAAATTCTGTGTTTCATCTTATTATCTCTTCAAGGGTTCTTCATCTCTCCATCCTCTTCAGCTTCAGACCGCCTCATCAGCCTCTCTCTCCACTTCTCATTGGACTTCTGTCACTTAGTCTCTAGTCTCTCTCTTTCTCTGTCATATCCTCTCTAGGCAATATAAGATAAAGGGATGTGGTGTAGGTGTAGATGCTATTTTTAACTTCTGTTGTGCTCTCTCTTACCAATTTGAAAGTTTCCAATTCAGTCAGAAATTTTAGATTTTAAATCATAATCATGTGCCTGGGTGGAAAGGAAATTTTAGCAGTTGTTACATTTATAAATCATAAGTCTTCATTTTGAAAGTTGCAGTTTTTTTTTCATCATTTACTCACCCTCATATTGTTCCAAACTTTTTCTTCTGTGGAACAAAAAGGATATATTTTAAAGAATTGTTTTTGTCTGTAAAATTGAAGTCCGTGGAACACACTGACTATCACTGTATGAATTTTTTTTTTTTTTTTTTTAATCACTAAAACATTTTTATTTTTCCTCAGAAGAAAGTAAGTCATAGCAGTTTGGAACGAACACAAAGAGCTTTTTAGTGCTGACGTTCTTATCACATTCACATCTGCCTCCTGTTCTTGAAGCAGAGAGCAGTATTTAGACTGTTAGATGCCCCATCTATAGCACATGGCTGTGTGTGGATGTACCACTGACTTACTGCTGGAGTAGTAGTATTTCTATGGGGAAGTCAAGCCTTGGTCCATCACTGACTACATGAGTCCAGTTCACATGCTGACACTGATGTGGAGGAGATTAAGTCGCTGTATGTTTCTCTCACTGACGATATTCTGTACCTCTGACATGCACATCCCCATTTTATCCTTCACTGTGTATAGAGATTGTTTTGTGTTTATAGTGTAAGGCCCAATCCCAATTCTACCCCTTAACCCTTCCCCTTTCCCCTACCCCTCCGTTTCACACGTTCACGTGAAGGGGTAGGGGTGTCTCGATTCTCTTTTGGTTGGAGGGGTAGGGGTAGGGGAAGAGCCAGATAGCCCTTCAAACGAAGATTTTTCGGGACCACACTTCAAACGAAGGGGTATGATTTATCTCAGCGTAAACCGGCTTCAGCGGCAACATGGCTTCCTGAGCAAACAAAAAGACACATAAATGTAAGCATTTTTGGCATTAATAAAGATTTTAACGAAAAGTAATCATTTGTTTTATGTTACATTCAATCGTGAGTTTATATTTACTCAAAGGTCATGTTACTCAAAGAAATGTTTGCAAAAAATCGCTAAAGTTTGCTAACGTCATATCATTACAGACTGCACGATAGTGCCACAGCATATTTTCATGTCTGATCAGGGTCATAACCACCATAGACATTGACACCGTAGACATTGAGGAGGGCTAATACCCCCAATAATTATAAATCACTAAACCCTTTTCTCAAATATTGCCAATTTGAGAGAGATAGAGAGATGAAAGTTACGTGTATGCGCGTCTGTGCGTTTCTCTTTTTATAGTGAGTTTACTTCAAAAACTGATTTTATCCTCTCGTTGCTGGAAAATATAATGTGGCAATTCAGTATTTAAACTGTTATTAATAAAAGTTGTGGGGCAGCGTTGACAAGTTTCTTTGCTCCTGGATGTGTGAGCTGCGCGATATATTTTCACCCCTACCCCTTGACACTCTGTTTCAAGGGACAAGGGGAAGGGGTAGGCGGAGGGGTAGGGGAAGGGGTATAAAATAGAATTGGGATTGGGCCTAAGTCACTGAGTGTCACTTTCTGAGAACATGACTGTGGGTAAGGAAAAGCGGAGTACAGTGTCTTTTTCAGCTGAAACAATATCAACATTTTGAGAGATTTAGAATTTGCTTTATAGCTTTATACTACACTGATCTCTCGCTTTCTGCACTTTGAAACTAGATATACACCAGAGACAGTTTAAGGAGGAGACAGACAACTCATAGAATAATGATTGGAGAAATCATGTCTCTCAGTATGGTAGCTGTTAGAATGGAGGTCTCGTGTGTCAGTTAAGAGCCCAAAATCTTTTCCATATAATTTGATTTCCGTCAAGCAAATGTGTGCATTAACTGGATCAACCTGAAAAAAAAAGTTTTTTTTTTTATTTTTAAATTTTTTATTAAATATGCTTTATTTATAGCTTTATTTATTTTTGAGATTTGTTTATTGAAAAGTTGAATAGGAGTGCAAATATTCCTGTTTTTTTTAATTGCTTAAAAAGACGATTAAAAACAAACAAAAAAAGTAAAAGCCATAAAGCAAAGTGCTTTGAAGTTTTTTCAGTATC